GTAATATAGTAGCTCCAAGATGTAACAGAAGATGCTGTTACATTAGCTGTATGCAGACGTTAGAATTCCTAGAGACAAGGGAGGTTGGGGCTTTTTTAATTTTAGGAAGTCATTTCTCCAAAGCATACATTTTAAACTCAGAACACACTTGTCTCCAGCAGGTGCACAAACTATACCGGAGAAAGGATAGGGGCGTGGACTGCATTTGGATCTGGTTAATAATTTGGTTGCATTTCTAAGATAAAAGGCCAACATTAAAAGATGTTGGGGCACTTTGCTTTACAGGGAACTTTCATTATTTATGTCACTAATTTGAAAATCAAAGCATAGAACTGAAATAAAAATTGTCAGCACGATATTGCTGACAATGGCTAAGGTGGTTAAAGTATCAGTTTTTTTTTTCCTCTAAGAGACTAACTGTACTGATGAAGTGTTAAAAAGCAGAGTATCTGGGTCCAAAAATTTCCAGGAAGAATTTTGAGTTTTTCATTTAGCAATTCTAGGTACAGTTCCATGTTAAAGACAAAATCAGTTTAATTATACCAATTAAGCGTTTGTGTTCTTGGCAAATTATTTCCTTCCTGGTACTGGTTGTAAATAGGATTTATTTTTTTATTGGTTGGTGGGGGGGTGAGAGAAGAGGAAAAGGCTGTACATAAAATTGAGTAGGCCTATACCATAATTCTCCCTTGACTGGTGAGACACACAGAAAGAGGTTGGGTGAAACATTTTACTATAATAAAATGTGTAATTTTAAAATGTACAAACTCTCAACGCAGGTCTCTCTCCTCACATGTGCTAATACCTCTGGACGGTCCAGAATCCATTTTAAAATGTGTGAATTCCACTTGTGCTTTTGCAGGTGGTGTTGTAGCAGGGGTAACCTTTGCTCGCCTGCCCAGCGTTACCAAGCTGTGTTTTGTTTTTTTAATGTCTGGTGAGAATTAAAAGCAAGACAGAAAATTCCAAACACCTGAAGTTGGCACAATGTTATTTCTACAACAGAGGTTAAATATTTCACGGTGACCTTAACTCATCAGGTCTATATCCAGATTCTTCTGAGGCGTCTCTGAAGATTCCTACTGTCCTTTCTGAAATACTGAGGGTTGGAAAACTAAGTGCTAGGTGCTGTGAGCACCCTCGCCCTGCAGTTCAGTGTCACAGGCTGAAGGTCTTTCTGAGTAAACGTGCATTTTCGGTCCTGGACGTCCAGTGATCAGTGCAGCAAAGACAAAAACCAAAGGGCAGCGTGGCGAATAGTCCACCGGCCAAGAAGCCGGAGAGGAACCGGCCTGGGCGCCGCTGGACGCCAGGCTCGGAGCTCGGTTGGGCTCCGCCGGCCGCCGGCCGAGCCGCGCTCACCTCTGCGGAGCGCCAGGCACTCCCCGCCCGCCGGCTGCAGCTCGCGCGCCCCCCTCCGCCCCCCGCGCAGGTCGTCCGCCCCGTCCGAGGCGATGGCTGCCGCCTGGAGGACTG